CCGAGCTGAGAAGGAGACCGTTCCCATCAGGAAGCCTAGCTAAGAGCAAACCAGTACAAGAATCCAATACCGTCCTGGTAGTAAACTAGTCGCATGGTGGCAAATCTCCCTCAGATCCACAAGGGCGACGACTGCCAATGGTGGTGACGACTTGGGTAAGACCTTGGTCTGGCTGACCTCGGGAGTCCAGGGAGCCAAAACGGCTAAACCAGCAAAACTCCAAAAAAAATGGAGATGTTGGGGACCGCACAACCAGTGAGGACGGGCCGTCCAAGCATCCAAATAAGATTTAAATTTTACCGCATTGTAGTAAAATTTAACACAAGACTTTCGCATTCAAACCATTGGTGCTCACAGTAACGCCCACTGCACCAATCACATCGACTATATCACAAACCTGTTCCAGGCTACGGATACTAACAAGACCTATTGCTATTACACGCTCGTACCTCCAACCTGACAGTGAACCAATATGTCATATTCAGACTTAGCGATCTAATTAAAGCGAAGTTTGCTTTTCTGGTGCTTACAACAACGGTCGGAGGCGCCATTGATTCTCACGCCACAGGCACACCAAGCCGTCCATTCTGCCGGGGTCGGCAAATTGGTACCAGACTTCTCTGCGAGGATAGCAGCATTGGCTCGATATATCGGTAGGCTACCGTTTGTCATTGTAAAATCGGACATGCATTCAATCACCTTCAACGAAGCTTAATGAAGTCGAATGAATGGCGCATCCTTAAGGGATAGATCAACGCCGAGAGCTTTTTTTAACGTTGAGATATCTGCTCGATTGAGAGAAGAAAAGAATCCAGTCTATAGTTTCCGATATTTTTAACAAATACTATAAACATGAAAATCCTCCTTAGAAGGTTAAGCGCATATTACCCACTCCACATCAACAATAACAACAACAATGACAACCACATCGTTTTAGAGTTTCCTTAAACGATCTCAAAATACTGATATATGTTTAAAAGGCATTATAATCTTCCTAATTTTCTCCTTATCGGTAATCTTTATATTTCTGTGTTTCTTTTTGTACGCTGTCAATCAGCTACTTCCCCTCCCACAACTGCTAGCTTCATGGCCAAAGTTAGTTTGAGAGACCGAGTGAATAAATATAAAGGTAAATAAAAAAAACAAGAATAACAGAAGCCATGTGCAAGTTCCATAGATAGAAACAAAGAGCTAAAATCTTTAAAAGCTCTAGAAGCTCTCTAAACGTCCCTTGAAACAAAAAGAAATATGACCTCGCGAACCCACTTTGACACGACTCAGCGTTACCAATCCCTCACTGCATCTGGTGGAACGAAGAGTTCGAGCAAGACCACTGCAGTGAGCATTCTCCGTCAGCAACACCACGTCGCAGTGCAGTCGCATTCCACTTGTTCTTCTCGACTGCACTGAACATCGCGCCATTAACGAAAGCCAGCAGCCTAGTTTCCAGGTTAAGAAACCAACATTCTACTGCACATACTACATATGTAACTGATATATATGCGATATACGACAAAGAAAGTGATAGAGCAGAACGACTTTCCATCAGAAATACGAAAAGCGCACGACACGACCGCCACTGGCTCCAACTAGCACTCGCGACTTTCGCCTTACCGCCGCTTAGGCCCAAAACTAATTTCTGGCCTTGCAGAGGTCGCACCAGCTACAGTCTCCGCTAAACAATGCACTTCACCCCCCTTAACTATGAATTTCTCTCTGAACGACTTGGATGAAGGTGACGCATGAAAATCGTAGTTTCTTCATGCCGCAGTTTGCCATAAGGTATGAGGTATGGCTTGTCGACGTTTGTAATGAAGATTCCCTTTATTCTTTTCCAAGGGAATCTTTCTGCTTTTGTTTATATGTCCTTATGAACTGATTTTGTTGAGCTGATGAGAGGTTGGTATGTTGTCCTTGTTATCGTTGTTGCTGTTGTCGTCGCTGTTGTTTCTGTGGTTTACGGTCGTTTTACGATTTCTGGTTTACCAGTATCCCCACTTCTTTTGTGTAGGTAGTTTCCGCGTTTAGATAGTTTAGTGAGAGCTACACTGTTTGTGCTGTCATACCTGGAACAAGCACATGAAATACGGTCGACTCAATAAATGCGGACTATCAAAAAGAATATGAAAGACCTAGTGCCAAAAGCGATTACGCACTATGTCGTATCCTAGGTTTATTTCGTACATTCGATTTTTAGAATCGCCATTACTATTTGTCACATTGGGGTAGGGTTAACGCAGTGGTTAGTGATGCAGTCCATAATGAAGAAAGGTTCTGGTTCGAGCTCATAACCAACGCTCTCCTCGTATCTATGTAGGAACGCCTAGTCCGGTTATCCTCAAGACTACAAACAGAGTCGACTCGACCAGCATTCTAAAGCTTTCGTAAGGAAAATGATATTCTAAACCAGCAAACGAAACAAGACGTCAAGTGTTCGAAGGCCACTGTGGACGACGAACGGGAGCAATACGAATTGAATGCGAGAAGTGCTACAATCCATACAGTAGAGGTGAGGACGGGTCATCTAAGACGAAAATTTACTCATCAAGAATACGATGGAAGGTAAATCAAATAAATTTATGGCATGTCTGCCAGGTATGCATTCAATCACCCCCAACGATGCTTAATGTAGTCGAGTGCATGGCGTATCCCTTCGGGATTGATCAACGACGAGAGCGTTATCCATCTATCTTTCAGGTGCTGGCTCCGCACAACGGACGTGGAGATGGGTTATGATGAAATTCTAAAAAAACAAATTAGCAACGTATATATTAATCCTATTCTCTGATACGTAACTTACTGGGAAGAAATTTCGCATGCCGTAGGATCGGACCCATCACGTCGAGATATAGCCCACATATGAAAAAAACTTCCGTAAATAGCCAAGGCAACTAGGGACACTTTTCACTCTCTGTGGAAAACCACTTCAATAAACAAATCTGAGTTCCTTGGACAAACCTGGTTTGTCACACGAGGCAAGGATGCTGTAGTAGAGCTCACATCGAGTAAATATGCTCTACACAAAAAAATGCTGACCCAACTGCAAAGATAGAGCCCAGTTGCACTGCAAAAGACGTCCTGACCACGGCACCACGACATTAACACGTCGAAGAGCCACATGGAGCTTGGGCCATGTCGGCGGACTGGGCTTCCTAGAGTGACTGTTAGAATAATCTGTGCGGAACCTTTGCACCAACGGTAGTTTTGTTTCTACGAAGAATACGTGAGACAATCCTTGTACTATCAGACATGCAACGCCATGAAGGTGCCTTTACGTATACTGCGCATCTATTAGAAATCCACGAACCATATCCCACTGTGTCAGTTCCAGCAAGCTTGGATCCCCCTAACGGCAGACCTGTGCTTGGAATTACTGTTTCCAATTGACAGCGTATAAAGAACCATTCCAAAAGTAAACCTTTTGAAGAATATGTCACTCTACACGGTATGTTTGTTTATGGACAAAAACAAGGCTTAAAAGAAACAGTTTTATTCCGAACATTGGTATGAAACAAGTTTTCTGAAGTCGTGCTGAGAACATTTCAATGACACATACACAATCACAAACGACCGTAGGGTACTTTATAACGAACATGTCTTGCGAAGGATTACAATAATTTCTTGGATAATATAATTCCACAGTGCGGTCTGACCACCATGAATCTATTAGAACATAGAAATCCACCGAATGCAACAATTACAACCACTGGAAGTACAATAAGGACTTCAAAATGTAATTTTGAAACCGATCGTCATTTAACGTCGGTACTATAGCAACCATCATGTGTTTACCGTGTTGAGCTTGGACGAGGTTGACAAACAAATTTTAGTCGGCTAACGTTTCGACGACTTCGTCTTCATCAGAGCCGACGATCCAACTGTGGAATATCGACAGGAATAGTTGGCTCCGATGAAAACGAAGAAAAGTTAGCCGAATAAACATCTCTATCAACCCCGTGCAGGCTCAACACTACAAATACATGTTGAAAAATGTAAATAGTACACGCCATTCGCTACCAAAAAAGTGGTAACCAACACAAAGTAGAGACATCTACGAACACTGCACTCGAGTTTCAGCTGGAATGGATTACAAACAGAGGAAGCCTTTGTGACCTGTCTATGCTGAATGCACAAGCCACATACCTAGTTACAAAGCGAAACCTATATTGAAAAAAAGGATGGCGCTACGCATAATCTCAATCACATCAAATATTCGACCAGATATTTTCGAGGAGCTAACTAAATGTGCAACTTGCAGCGTGTTCTATTGAAGACCACTAAGAACAGCATTTTCCTTCAAAAACAGACGTTTTCCCAATCTCGACACATTCCGCAGCATTCCACGTCGAATGGAAAACGGATCAGCAGCACTCGACATAATGTGAAGATTCAGAAATATTTCCCAATGAGTCACAAATCACAAGACGGTGATGGTTTTCAGAACACACAGGAAAGCTTAAAGCTGCCGCACAAATATCGGAATGATGCGTTCACACCTTTGACAACAAGGAAAAACTTAGGTATACACTGAGTAGAATAGGGTTAGCTCAAGTAAAACTTGAAACAAGGTAAGGTGGAGTAAAAAAGATAAAGCAATGGATGGCTTGGTCCTAAAGATTATGGTTTCGACGATCTTAAACATATCAATAATAGAGGAAAGTAGTTGCAATAAACAAAACTGCAAAGTAAGTAAAACTGACTAGTCTATCAGGGAAGGTATTATTAGTAACAGTAATAAATGACTTGCACGAAAGAAGAGAATGACAACGAATTGACTAGAGTCGAAGCTGGGATCACCATATATTAGGATTAACAAGGAACTGACTAGAATTGACATTGGAATTAGCTGACCAGAGTGTACCCTATCACAAAATCTAGATACAGTTTATGGGTGAAATGTCATTAAAAGATAAGACTTGAGCCCCTCGAACCGACTTCTCTCGTAAGAACAGAAAAACGAAGGCAAGAACAATAAAAAGAATACAAATCTAGATATGGCTTCATTGACTTTTGCCAACTGCTTCATAATCCTCCTCTGTAATCAGCCATGCTGATTGCAAAGCGTAGCGTATAAGGAACCTCTCGCAAGCGATTGACGACACGTACCATACCGGGATGTATTCAAAAGTAATCAGTCCCATAAAGTGATAGTGAAAATAGCTGAAACTAGTAAACTGACTCAGAAGACAAAAACGATTACTATAGAAACAAACAGTGCTGCATATGTTTTATATAGATGTTTACGGGTAAAAAATGCTGTTCATAAGGAACCACAAGCAATTTCCAAATCAACAGTAGTAATAATAGTAATCATAATAATAAACAGCGACAATAATGTTAACAGTAACGAGATTGAAGAACCATAGCCAATTCATGGAAGTATGATTAGCTCACTCGGCTAAATAGAGAACCCAAAGGAGGAACATTTACTTGATATAAAATGTTTACATCATTAGTGCATTTGTTGTGCCTACCAACGGTTTGCCTCCTCATCGTGGTTGGGAAGTGTTCCTGGATGTCGGGTTGCGATGTACAGTGAGGGGATTCATCACCACAGCAGGGTCTTCCAAAATGAGAAGGAATCCGGCGTGTCCATCACGAATCCCAGCTAAGAGTAAACCAATACCATGATCCACCACCATCCTGGTATCAGACTAGTCGCATGGTGGCAAACTTGCACATGGGTGACCGCTCTCTGTGGTGAAGATGAACTGGGGCAGAGTTTGGTCAAACTAACCTCGGGACTACAAGGAATTACGATGGCTAAACCAGCAAAACTCCGAAAAAATGGAGATTATGCTGTGGTCCACACAACCAGTGAGGATGGCCCGTCGAAGTATTCAAGCAGGTAATGAAGTGCATGTGCGGAAGCACATGTTTCCCTTATCACAATCAAGATGTCTGGAAAACGACGATCAAATACTGATAAGCCAAGGTTAGATTTCTTCAAGGAGATTCCTGATGACAAGTGTAGTGCTTTTTTATACCTCGAGCGAACAGAAGCCACTATGCGAATCTGGAAGGCGTCACAGAATGTTGACTTCACTCAAGTCAAATGACAACAAGTAGGAAATAAAAAGGTAAATAGGAGCATGTTTAGTAATTCATAAAAGTAATCTACGCACAGTACAACAATTACTTTGATTTCTTTAACAGCCACATTTGATCGCACTCGCACTATCCTGTACACCATGGGAATGTTCCAGTAGTGGCTATGCTGGAGTCCGACACGCCATGTTTTTCTTTAAAAGAATGTGAAACTACATTTAAAAATGTAAGACGAAAAGAAAAAAGTCGTCGGTAATAGTTTCTCACATGCTAGCTGGGATTTTCACGAGTTCTCTACGTTAACAAGAAAAAACTACAAAATATCCCAAATAATGATCTTGTCACACATTAGAAGACACATTCGTGGCTATCCATTTCTATCCACTTGTTCCACTTTACTCAATCTCTAGCATCTATTTTCCATTGTTCACACATACCCAGTATCTATATCAGCTCGTTGTACGAATAAACTTACCTATTTAGATACTCGGATAGACAGTCCTCATTGGTTGTGCGCACTCCGGTAAAATTTCCATTTTTTCAGAGTTTTGCTGGCTTAGCCAATGTGTTTCCCTGGAGTCCTAAGGTCATCCTGGCCAAAGTCTGCACCAGGTCGTCGCCACCACAGGCAATTTCCCTCCCTGTGGATCCGAGGGAGATTTGCCACCATGCGACTAGTTTGGTACCAAGACGGTGGTGGATCCCGATATTGGTCTACTCCTAGCTGGCTCCCTGATGGAAACGCCGGACTCGTTCTCAGGTTGGGAGGCCCTGCCGGGTGGATTAATCCCACTGCTGTACATCGCAGCTCGACACCAAAGGACACCTCCTAGCCACGATAAGGCGGTAAACGGTTGCGAGGGTACGAACAGACACTTTCCAGAAAGGTTTCATCCAAAAACTCTGCTACAATTGGCAAATCTCCTAATAGATCGGAACTAATTAAGAAAATAATGAAAAAACCTAAAGCACCTTTCATAGTCCCATGGACAAGCATCCCATCGTTTCAAAAAAAGCCCAGTGCTGAATTCCCAACTGTAACACACAAAGACATAAATAGCCGCCCGAAAAGGAAGAGGAATAAGGTTCTAAATTACTATTACTTATCCATATAAGGCTAAGAGTAACTGAAAAACGTTACTAACTATCAATCATAACAATGAAATTCTGAGTGATCAAACTGCATACCTTCAGGATAAGGTATAATTTCTCCAATAGAAGAATGGAAAATCCGTAAACAAAGAAAATATACATAGAAGTGACACCAATCAACTTGCGATTTCCGTGCTCGACAGCTTCCCATGTTGCAGTAAAGCACACCTAGATTGGGTATACGCTCCTTTAAGGAAATCTTGAAAAAGTATGTTTTCGAGAATGTGGCAAAAAAAAAGATATGTGTAGTGGGTTTCTAAAATGTAAGCTTATACTGAAAAATTCATTATATCAATTATGAAAATTTATAAGTAACTAACCTCAGCTGCGAAGCCGAACAACCCGTAGAGAAAGAGCCGCTCGAAGACATTCCACTGACGATGACGGACTGTCATGCACTTGCCTAATCCGCTTCTAACTGTGCTGCAAAGAAATAAATCCAAACCTATTATATTAAGAACATTCACGGTCTAGAGAAACCGAAAGACGTTGCAAATAACAATGCATGCGTATCAATATTTCATGGGTAGTAAACATGGAAATATAGCAATGCTCCACATATTGTTTTCAAAAGAAGAGCACTTGCAAAGTTCGGCACCAAGGGCATATCGTGCACACAAAGAATTTTATCTTTCATCTGGTGAAGTACACAGGATGGTGTAATCACGCTACCAATCGCGTATACCCCACATATCCATGACAAAGTTATACCAACAGTATTTCTTAAATACTCTACAGAACATTCTTCGAACAACATTATATGACGAAGTTGGTTCCCTTATTCATCGAACATATCGAGGGAGGATGCGTATGCAACGTAGAGAATCACTGACTGGAATTAATGAAAGCAACTTAGGTGTAGCAACCCATCTCGATACTGAGTTACTGCTGTGACCCATTTGCTTTGCCTACAACACCACCTAAAATCAATTGGTGTTACGTATTAATGTCTGCACTGATCGAACGATGATTTAGAGTAGACAAAACACGTAAACCAAAAGATAGTGCCTCGTAAATTACAAGGTAGAAGAATTTCAAGGCAAGAGGTTTCCGTACTTTTCACTGTTTCTTTGCTACGACGAAGCTTTATCCTTTATCTCGTTTTGTTGGTAGCATCACTGCCTCGATACATCGGTAGGCCACCACAATTCATTGTAAAGGCCAGATATGTATTCAATCACCTCTAAACGATGCTTAATGAAGTCGAATGCACAGTTCATCCCTAGGAGACTGATCAACACCGAAAGCTTTATCCTTTATGTCGTTTTGTTGGTACTACCACTACTGCTTGATCCAAAAGGTGTCGATAGAACCTAGTTCCCGAAAAGAAAAGAGTGCAAGCACTGCATATTAAACACCTGACAAAACTCAAACCAACCAAGTAACAAAAATTAACGAAATAAAAACTAAGGAATCAACAAAGTGGTGAAATTACTCACAAAATGATCTTCAGCTTATGGATGAATTATCTCCAGATCACCATAAGAAACCGCTGTTTCTTTGCTACGACGAAAGACAACACCTCTGTGAAAAATAAACGAGGGATTTCAAAACCAAAGTGAGGTTTTCTTAAAAGAAAGCGATGCAGGAAATCAACACTGTAAAGATACTGGGTTAACCACATGCCAAGAAGAACGTAAACAAAGCTTATATTATGTTTATTTTGAAGACAGAAGATGTGAAATTAATTCTATTCCGCACGGAAATATATCTATATCTCTCTCCTCAAATATGGAACACTGTCATGCCGTCGTACTATAGTGGCCATAACCAAGAATACACGTCCCGAAATAACGAAGGTGCCGCAATGCATCTTTTTTAGCAAAAGATGTACCTTGGCAAAAAACTACAGCAACCGTGAATGAAAGAAATAGAAACATCCCTAGAATTAAAACAGGTCAAAAATCTTTTCTGAATAGATTTAACAAGAGTGAACGGAATTCTTAGAACCAGAGCCAAGAAGCTCGATCAGTGAAATGTTATGAAAAAGGCAAGAAGGAACTTAAACTAAAAAATGGTAAATGACTTCATAATCCAAACAGGCCTTGAATACATCGATGTGGATGTCACAGAATAAAGGAAAAGAAAGTGGAAAATTTTGGTAAGAGGAAAGGAACGATGTTTCTACATAACACAGGCTAAACTGTTAACACAGATTTACATCAGAAGCAACGGGAAGAGCTGAATTTCTTGAGAATAAACAGCAACGCTGCTGCACATGTGAATACAAATTTTTACAACGTTTGCAGACTGCCTATGCATTGGGTGCAATGCAGCCTGTCGACAGCGCTTGGATGCGGTGGTTTCTGAATGAAAAATACCTTAAGCGCACTAAATAGATTTCCAACCAGAAACCAATACATAGGATGCAAATACTTCCCAATTATTAAAGATTTTTGCGTCCATATGGGTAAGAATGGCGCCGACTCAAGCGCTAAACTGTCGAGCTATCAATGATTCGAAAGGAGACTCTTGATAAATAACTAACCGCCAAGTCTATACCAGTTGCTGCAACAAACGTTTAAGCGTTCAATATCGCCTTGTGTCCTCCAGATCAATCCCGTAAACAGGTCACCGCTGATAGCACCCATAGGTCAATAACACGGCTGAGAGACATGCGAAACGAAGGGCTCACATGGTGTGGTAGTGTACGCGTTAGCTCTGGGAAAGGGTAATAGTGCGTTCGGACCCCACCGCAGAGATCAGCGGTCCGGAGTTTTGCAAATGCCTCAGTATCACTATGTTTAAGAGAGGAATTAATGCCGGACTCTTATGATCTCGCGATGGCTCGCACACCGTTGTGGTCCGGGACAACAGGCAACGGCTTCAATGCATTCAATTTCGATTACCTCTTTGCAAGATAAGCTCCCCCCTTTTTGCAACAAAATTTGTACTATTGATAGCCTCTTTATTACAAGCCTTTTATGGGATATATTCTGGAAAAGAATATTTTCTAACATTCCAGAACAAGAAAAAACTTTCAAAAAAGAATTTTTCTTTGAAAAAGAAATCACAAGTACGAGTTTCATCACCTACAGTGCAGACTGTGTATCAGAGACACATCCTGATAAGGATGCAGCATGCCTCTGGTATAGAAATAGAAGTAAAACTACATGAACCCCCTCCGCTCCGACAGGATTTCGGGATACGCGGACAACGCACAGCCCATAATAAGACGAGGTCCAGTGTGTCAACAAGTAGAAATTAGATGCCGTCGAGAGCGAGTTGAATCCCTATTATTTAAAGGGCCCCATTCAAGATTAACCAACGTTTTGTTGGTTATCATCCTGTTATAAAACTGACAGCTCTTCTACTGGGATATTTTCAATTTATAACAGAACAAGTTAGACTACTAACACTGATTTCAGTAATGATCTGTAAAATCTTGTGCATGGCAGCATCATTTTCCAATACAAAGGACGGTTTCACTGATCGTCGAGCTTTCTGCACAGATTTTGCACTATGCTGTATTGGGCTTCCAGATCTACTCTGACCATTTCCACATGGTATATTCCCATCAGTACAATTAAGATCTGATTGGAGAGGTATCTAGAACAAAGTAACAGACGATTATTACAAAATCTGTGTTCACTTTACTGGAAAACAGAGATACCTCTACGTTTGAGCCATTAACAATAACGTCTTCATATCCGTTCAACTCATCTACTGTGCTGTGACTGTAGGTTCTACCAACCCTTTTTGTAGGCGACTGGGACGAACTCGAGTGAGTACCATTACGAATTTCATATCCCTAGGATGAAAATTAGCTTGGAATTTACACCTGCATAGTATCCTATATTAGTACAAAAAAAATGAAGCATTAAAAGGAAAAAGTAAGAATCTGTTCCGACTTGGTAAAGGCTGCGATTGTCAGCGAGCAAAAAGTCTAGAACACGATGCCTTATGAAGTCTTTCATTACCTGTACAAGCAAAACATGCCAACCTTTAAAGCTCCACTTCGCACAAGGACATCCATAAGTGCTTTCTGTAGCTCTTGACATCTAAAAATTGAAGTATTCATCTGCAAACCATTGTTAAAATATTTTATTACCACAGGGTTTTACCTCTTCAGCGTCTCCACCTTGTCTGCCTCCATCGCTGCCAACTGTCTATCTTTAACACGTAAACGCTCTCGAATTAAACGCCGTTGATGTTGGTACAATACCACGTGATCAGCAATTGTATCATTTTCAAGCTGAAAAGTTTCAACACAGTTCATAGGCACATCTTGTAGTAATTCCCACGATCGACTTTCTACAAATCTCGGCATTGATCAGATAGTTCTCGACACTATTGTTGAGTAAACACTAAACACGAAGTGTTGCTTTATTCTCTATCCCGTTAAATTTGACATTTCGGCAATATCGCCTTCCTCGGAGCCTTGGTCGACCATATGCGACTCTTATCAACTGTTCTTATTCAGTGGAAGCACGTAAAGAACGGCTTTGAAGAAGGCGATACTGCCGAAACGCCAGCTTTAACAGGATAAACTATAAAGTAACACCCAGTATTTGCTCAACAAGAATATCGAGAACAGTTCATTGGGTTAAAAGTAAACACATTTGCGTCAACAACAACAACAACTATTTGAAAGCCCTTTAGATTTTAATCAATTCTAGTAGTTAAAGATGGAAATGACCACTCCAATACGAGAATGTCAAGTAAACTGCACCTACTACAAATGAAAGAATCTAGGTGTGAGACAAATTAATACCTGAAGCTGTAAATTGATATGTTCCAATGTGTCTAGTTTTTCGTGAAGTTCTGCATTGCTGTGCATGGCTTGTGCAAAACGCTTCTCCAGTTCGCATCGCGCCCAGTTCTCACTACCGATACCGCTTGGTCTAATAATAACGACATACAACACTGAAGTTTTATTTACTACCTACTCTTTTTAATGGCAGGGTATTATGTGAAATATAACTATAATGGTACTGAGATATTTGCAAAACTCCGGACCGCTTGTATTTGCGGTGGTGACCAACCACGCTATTATCCTTTCCAAAGGCTAACACGTTCACCATCATACCATGCAAGTCATTCGTTTCGCTTTTCCGCCAGCCGTGTTATTGACATAAGTGCTATCAGTAACCTCTCAATTGAAGTTTTAATAAATTTCCAATTAGAACACCTATTATAACACACTAACCATGATGTTTACTTGTAATAATTCTAGATCGTCCTAACTCTAACACTGACCTGTAACACTTTAAAACTTTAGAGCAGCTGTGTGGGAAGACATAATAATTGTAGATAGATATCTTAAAAATTTTAGGACTTGATTTTCAAGATCAAATAATTAACAACTCACCCGTCAATTGAGCGCGATTGGCTTCTAATGAAATCCCTGGACGATGTACAGTTCTCCAATTCAACACCTCCTGAGTTTCCAACTTCAACGGTTTCAGACCTCTCAAGCAACGAATTTTCAAAATGAGAACGATCCTCTACCATTCGCTCAATGCTCTATATATAGTAAATTAGCGTATTGCTTGGAAAAAGTGTCAGTTCACTTAAAAAAGTAGTGAACGAACCTCACGTAGTTGTTGGTTCTGAGACGCTAATTCATGTATTCTTGCTACCGCCTGGCCGAGTTCTACATGAATCGAATTTTGATTCTCATCCTCTGCATTCTGCCTCAGTATCTGGTTCATCTCTTCATTCCGTGTATGACTACGACGTAAGTCAGCACGAATCTGAACCAGAATGGAAATTTTTAGGTACCAACGTTACAATTATAGATTGACAGATATATTGCACAAGAGTTACTTTGCTAAATGGAAAGGATGCATGCTGAAACGTTTTTCAGAAAATGAGAAAAAATCGAACAGTCGATAAAGCGTACTTCCTCTAGTTCTTGGTTCGCCATTTCTAATCGCGTCTTTAAAATGTGTTCACGTTTACGAGAAGCTTCTAAAAACTAATTTGTGAAAACAAAGGAATATCCCCGCTTCCCAATCACTAACAATATGACAGTAACACTTGTTGTAACAGCACAAGACCTGTTACATTTCCACTATTGCCATGTTCTGAGATATCCAACTCTTCGGTTAGAATCGACGGCTCCAGCGACGTTGATGGGTGCAATACAAACCCCAGAACCATACATGTATTATTTGCGTGCTGTGCATCGTATTCTGTTTGGTTCTGGAACAAATCCGGAACACTGTGACGATACGTAGGATATTAAGAAAATAAATCGATAAGCACACCAACCTTATTATCAAGTAGTACTAACAGTTCCTTCACCTGGTGTTCCGCAGTTTGGCGAGCCAGTTCAGATTGCAGTTTTTCTTCTGTGAGTGCCACAAATCTGTAAATTAGTAATGAGAAGTTCATAGAAACTGGCCATCACTGCAGGCCTTAACACATATACTTTTGAATGTTAAAGAGAACGAGAAAACGGCTTGAAATAACCAAGCATAAAGCTCAATTTTAGTGAACCCTCTCCACAGATGTTCAGCTCTGAAATGTCATCAAATACTTGGAAAGTACTGACCTGCTCTCTGTTTCAACCAACTGCTCCTTAAGCTCTCGATTCTGAGCTATAGCACGTGATACAGTCGCCTTTTCATTTTGCAACTGTTCGGAGAGCAAAAGCATATCCTAAATAGAAAACTAATGTAGCCTAACCAAATATTGTACGAAGGTAGATGACATTTTAAATCAAAATACAATTTTACAAAGCAAGATGGATAGGAAAAAACTAGCCGAGCTATTCGTTCGGACTTCTTCTAAGCGCTCTCCCATTAGTCTTAGACGCATCTCAACCTCACTTAGTTTCTGCTCACGTTCAAAGATTAATTGATCCTTAACATTAGCAGCATGCTTAAGAGTAAGTGGATGATAGTTCATCAAAGAACTAACTTTTTCCTTAATCATAGTGTCAACTAGTTTGCCTTCCTCATCGAATTTTTCTTGCCACTCTGCATTTATTTTTTCCACAGCTTCGTGCACTTTACGCTTAACATCCTCATCTGTGCAATTCATAAGTGTTGCTTCGCACTGTTCTGCATTAGCTGATGATGTTGACCGATTAATGTGCAACTCCTGAACATAAACAGATAAGAGATGTTACCAAAAAATGTCGGAGGCGCTCTGCAACACACGAACGGGATCGATGCCCGCGCCCCTGGCCCACCAAGCTTTCCATCCCTCCGGAGTCAGCAAGTTGGAACCAGAGTTGTTTGGGAGGATAGCAGCTCTGGCTCGATAGGTTGCTAGGTCACCGCGAGGCACTATAAGGGCCAGATGTGCACTCAGTTACCTCCAACGATACATAATGAAGTCGAATGCATGGCGCATCCCTCAGGAATTGATCAACTCTGGGAGCTTCATCCTGTTATCTTCTTATCAATAAATGAGAACAAAACATAAGACGAGCCTTTTGTAACACACAGACATCGTCCTGCAATTCCTTAATACGTGACAAAGCTGCATCTCGCGCCGAGACCGCTTCAGAGAGCTGAGAAGGAAAACTAAACAATCTGAGCAAAAACCTATTTTAAGATCGAACTAGTGAAAAAAGTCGAAAAATTGGAAGTAATCTTTGATTGTTTACACAAGCTGGGTTAACGAAATAATGAGAGAAAAAGAAGATAAAACGACTGTGTTTAGGAAACAAATAACTGAACAACCGTACCTCGGCTGTCAACTTTTCACGAGCACTTACGAACTCTAGCCGACAGATCTCGTAATGTCTGCTCAGTTCTTCATTGGTAAGGAGAAGTTTATCTCTTTCACTAGTGAGCACCACTACTTGGTTTTGCAAAGCGTCAACACGACCTATATAAGAAGCCAATTTGCACTTGAGATGAACAACAAAAAGTTGATTAGAACCTTTTAAAGACTACTTCAAATCAGTTCTATAGGAAAAGCATCATACAAAATATTTTTCACAGTCTTCACTTGTTCACAGACACCGAAAGTGCTTGTAATCCAAACCATTAGTGCTAATATTACAAACACTAGTAACTAAGTAATCTTCACACTTTGAAATTCCACTTCCCGAAAATCTAAAGGTGCTTACCATTCAATGTGCTAATTGCACTTTCACTGCTAACATTGTTGACTAAACCATGTGGAACGAGTTGCTTCAAGTAGATCTCTTTCATGTGAAGCTCCTTTCTAACACTCTTCAATTCTGAGGCAATCAGCTCTTTTTCACGAGCAACAGCTTTAAGACGGGCCTGAAAAAAAAGGAATTGTCAGAGAAATAGGCGACTAATTGTTGTTGGAATGCCAACTTGTGCTTCACTTCTCTCCTGCTGCACAGTTAGAAGTCGGGCTTGTGCGTTTGCTTCACTCTTTCTGAGGTCATCGAGCTCAGTACTGCGTGCAGACAAAAGATGTTCACACTCGATCAACTGTTTTTGATGTTTCTTCGATTCGTCAGCACGTAAAGACTTGACCGCTGCAGAAAGCTAAATGTAAGCAAATTAAAACATTGAAATAATAATTAGTTTCTAGATACATTTCGTCACCAGTCCCGACTAAAGCTTAGTGAATAAGCTATACAACAAACAACACTTAAACATTCATTATATTATATTATATTCATTATATTAGCACTATATAACTTCTATTACAGCTGGTCTTTAGAATCACACACAAGGAAAGGTGAAGTTGCACTCGAAAAAATTAGAAAAATACTTTTAAAAGGCAAGAAAAAACCTACATTTTCATTTAAGATTCTTTCTTGTTCCAAATCGTTCTTCGTGTTACGCAATTCAGACTGCACGGATGTTTTCTCCTCCACCAGAACAGCCAGTGCCTAGAAAAGGCCGCTCAATAAATGCAACTTTTCGCAACTTAAGTGCTCTACAATAAAAGAGAAACAACAAGGAATTGATGGCTCATGGGAATTCTACCGCCTCCTTAGCAAGTTTACATCTAATTTTTTTCCTCCAAAACCCCTGAATTGTTTTAAAGCAACTAAACGAAAGCTAACAACGTAAAACGCTACACATTAACTTTGAAACCACACACTCTCAACGAATAAATAAAAATAAGCGAGGTATTTATGACACGCTTCACGTTCTATCTGGCACTAGTACACAGCCACACATAAGAACCACTAACTTTCTGTGACAAAGTCTAAACAATAACTTAGCATTGAACCTACTGATTGGAGTTGCTGAATCTGCTTATCGACATCGACATGAACTCCACTACTACTCAAGCTTGAATATGCTGCATGCAGCTGTGCATAGTGGTCTTTCTGAAATATACTGAACTCTCAGTCAAAGATAAAATCGTATTTTAACAAATCCTCTAGGAATGTTAATTTTTATCCATTGTCTATCCTTTTCCCATGGTAAGGTACTAATAAAACACAAGCACAATTATGCCGAGATATTTGCTGAAATCGGAGTCTCATATGGGCTTCGAACATGCGACTACCCTATCCGTGGTTCACATGCTTTCCACCACACCAACCAATGACCGTGCTTTGCCTTTCTGTGAGCCAGTATTGTATCCTAACGATGCTATCAGCAATCACGCCTCAAGAGAGATAATCTAAGGGACACAAGTCGACCAAGGAACACTGGAAAAGACACTGCGACGACAACAAAGTGTCGAAGTTTTTAGCAGGTGCTTACAGACGTACCAGTTGCTCAAACTGTTCAGAAACATGTTCATATGCATCTACAGCAACGTTGCGTTCGTGAAGCAGTTGATTCCGTTCCATTTCGGAATTGTTAGATTGCTATAATACCAAAGCACTATTAAATAACCTTCTCGGCTAAAGAATCTAAGTCTAAAATCTATATTATAACGAATAGAAAAGAACAGCAAGAGATTCCAAACATCTTACAGAAAGGTAGAACATTAACTGCACAAAAACGATAAAAAAGGAAAGGACACGTAAAAATCCTGTTAGAATGAGTACATACATGTGATATCTTACTACAAAAAGGGCATCTACTAGCGCTAGCCCCGTTTGCAGTAGCCGAATTGCGTGGCGATGGTGAGCTGTTGCTGCTTCCAGTCTGATCCAATACCAGATTTCTAGCCGGATGGTTGTCAGCTGAAAACGCGGGAGGCGAGCAGCTCGTTCCATAGTCCTCCATAACGTCTCTTGGATGCTAAGTAATAAACTGCTATACTTAGTTCTCTGAACAAGAAGTTTCTTGTGGAGTATAAGAGCCAGAAAATGATTTGCGAACACTGACAACAATAACTGAAATCCAGTCGGCTAAAAGCCCAGGTTAAAAAACACCTGAAGTGAAAACTAAAATCTAAAACAGAATATCAAAGAGGTACTGAAAACCTGGTGAGAAGGTTGATCTCCCACGCCATTTTCGACCGAAGTGGAGCAGTACATCGGATGTCCACTGTTGCTAGCTGAACTGCTTTCGTCGAGCAATATAAGTAGTATATTCACTTTTCTTCGATAAGCAAACACAAGATTGGTATTATTGAATTAATTAGCATACAACAGCTGACGTTTCGGCGGTTTCGCCTTCTTCAGAGCCTGGAAAGCTCAAACTGACAAGCAATCTACTCAGTCTTTGACCTTTCCAGGTTCTGAAGAAGGTGAAACCGCAGAAACGTCAGCTATTGTGTGCTAATGCATTCCATAGCAGCAACCTCGTGTTTCCTTATCGAGGAAAAACAGAGTGATCAATCAATGTCGAGATTTGTGGAAAGTTCGTCTAGAGAATAAGTAGTAAATGTCACTACATTAAAATACACCAAGACAGGCATATAGAAAATTCGTCAAAGACGTTCAATGGAGAACTACAAGCACAAACATGCTGGCGATAGCTTAGAAAACAGAAATGAAACATAACAAACCAGTACAAGAATGGTTGCTGTTCACGGATAAACGACCGCTGTTGGCATTTTGACCGGCCGTCGACGAAACACTCGGCACCGGCGAGTAGTCGGATTCCCGCTGACGGCGAGCTTCGAATTCTTTTAACTGAGGAGATTTTCATTGTTTTCCATAAAAAAGTAACGATACTAACATAAACGAAACAATTATTTATTAACTTGGAAAAATACTTGTCGATATCAAAGTTAATACGAAATAAAACTAAAAACTAATTCGCCTTGCCTGGAATAAATCCATTTTAGGTAGCTAGGAGAGATTTCCACGTAAGAGTGAAAACCTTAAAGCCTAAGTGAGCTAAGGAACTAACTTTCTTCTTCGCTATGGCTAGTTTATCGGCACGGTTAAGTGATTCAGACATCAGACTGCGCAAACGGACACCCTCGAATAGACACTCTTCCCACAGAACAGACACACCCCAGCAATCTGTAATATGTTAGCAAAAATTGAAACAAACTAGGACTTCATGAAGTAAACGGGATTGAATACGTGGACGAAAAGCCACAAGAAGCTAAACTCGCGCGTATACAGTAAACAGAACAGTCTCAACCCCACGGAAAAAAGGATTAGGCGAAAGGATCTCTATAAGGATAACAAACCGCATCCAGAAATACTACTGTTTAGTGCAAAATCAAGAGCTGAATGAATGAACAGCACTTCGACGTGGCAGCTCTTCGACACCGGGAAGTGTGCATTTTTACGGAAACGCTACACTAAATCAGTGAGTATACAGTAGTCGACGTACAGTAGTCGACATACTCCTTACGAGGAGAGCGACCCTGAAGTGTCCCTGGTCATGGACGAGCCCCAGAGAATTCGTAGATGGTCGTGTGGCTCAGTGTCCCTCATTAGCTGTACTTTTCCCGTTCCCAGCAATTTTGCAGAATTGTCTTAAGGAACGGATGTACAGGATGTTCTGACGGTACTGTCTAGAGAGCAAGCAGTTAAGAAATCGAGCGAGTTTACTCTTCTGCTATGTCTTTCTTTCCAAAAGCAGGAGTTCGATGGGACGATCCAGAAGAAATAAGGGGGTCGAAAAAGTACAGGGTATATCTAATTCGCTTTGAGCATCAGAGGGGCGTATGTAGCGCAGTGCTCGGAGGCGCCCGGCAACACACACGGGATCGATCTCCATGCCCGAGGCTTACCAATTTTTCCATCACTCCGGGGTCTGAAAATTGGTACCAGGTTTGTCTGGGAGGATAGCAACACTGGCTCGATATATCGGTAGACCACCGCGAGTCATTATAAAGGCCAGATATGCATTCAATCACCTCCAACCGATGCTTAGTGAACTCGAATGCCTGGCGCTTCCCTCAGGGATAGATCAATGCCGAGAGCTTTACCTTCTATCCTTTTTTGTAAAATCATAGAGTGAAGAGTTTCACAGATACATTTAAACCCATAGCTTCATGTATTCAACACAAAAGATTAGGGAATTTAGTCAATCGCTGGTAGTATTTCTCCGCCTTGGTGCTTCCTGAGCTGTACTCATTTGTCCAAGCCAAGAAGTAGGTGTGATCCTATTCTACGTAGTTATCCATTCGACTGATAGAAGCAGGTCATAGCCATGGTTTTGTAATCGGCAATTTTCGACGTCGTGTAGCGATTGGGAATATTATGATTTGTCCCTGACCCACTTACTTCCCACTTAAATGTACGCGTCGTGAATCAAGTGCTAAATTGCACGTCCTTGGCTGGTCAGCGTATATATAGTCACAAAAAACTCAACTTCAACAAATGCCTACTTTCTACTACCCCTTCATTTTCCGTGCTTGTTTCCCATTCTTATCGAAGCAGACTCGAACGTTACATTCATTACGAGTGGGTCTGCCTTACTTTTCTTCGTTTCTTCGTATCCTTCATCCGCTAAGGTCTTCAAACTTTTCGCGTGTAGGTTCGGAATATCGCTGAACGCCGGTCGAGTCGGTTCTCCTTGATGTCCTGAGATAGCCTCGCTAAGACGATTCCACGTGAACTGCAGAGAATGAAACGTTTCCAGACAAGCACTGTACTAAATTCTCGAACTCGGGGGAGATAAGCGGTAGCCAGGATCGAGCCACTAGTGTGATAGTGATGGTCGACACCACTACCACTATACTACAGATGGCTTGTATTCATTCATTATCCTCTTTTTTTATACCTTCATATCTATAAACTTTAGTACTTGCACAATCTTAACCTTTTTATTTACTGCCTATTCTTTTTGTTTTTAACGGCAGGGTATTTTGCGAAATGTAACTACTATAATGCTGAAATATTTGCAAAACTCCGGACCGCAGACATCTGCGGTCCGGNATATCTATAAACTTTAGTACTTGCACAATCTTAACCTTTTTATTTACTGCCTATTCTTTTTGTTTTTAACGGCAGGGTATTTTGCGAAATGTAACTACTATAATGCTGAAATATTTGCAAAACTCCGGACCGCAGATGTCTGCGGTGGGGAACGAACGCGCTATTGTCCTTTCCGGGGTCCCAGATCAATCCCGTTGACGGGTGATTGCTGATGGCAAAAGATCGATAGGACTAGCTGAGCGACAGGCGAAACGAAGGACCCGGATGGTGTGGTGGTGAACGCGTTACTCACCGGAAAGGACAATAGCGCGTTCGTTCCCCACCGCAGACATCTGCGGTCCGGAGTTTTGCAAATATTTCAGCATTATAGTAGTTTAGTACTTGCAGTTATTCCCAAGACCGACCTTCCATTAACCTCAGCAGTGACCAAATAATTCACTTGCTTGCTGAGCTCTGAACCCGGGGTATGGGTATACTCACGGGTAGTTTGCCAATCCCTCCCAGAATGAAAGGGGAGATTATTTGTTTGAGGCGACCCCTACCGCCTCCCACATGCTTCGCTTTCACTTGATTGCAGGCTTTTGGATGAATTGACTCATAGAGTACAATCCGCATAAACGAGAACATCCACGCACGCATGAATGAATGCACCCTCGTAAACACAAAAGATATGGGCCAAATCCACGCAGGAGAAACGGAGTTCGTCCACTGGATCTATCTGCATCACAGGGAAGCAAAGATCACTTTTGGTCCGTGATTAACACCCTATCCGCCACACGGGGACATGTCATATTCCCTCGCGACTAGCCGGCGTGAGATCGCTCTGTGGCGGAGGTCCGTAGAGTCCTCCGATAGCAGCCGAAATGGCACACAAATCTAAAAGTCTTAGTATCTCTATATTATGTGACAACGTGTCATAAACCGATAAAAAGGACAAAGTTCTCGGCGTTGAATAATCGCTGAGGGATGCATACTGTGGTGAATAGCAAATGATACAAGTTAGCCTGTGGTTAAACCACGTCTCTCAACGGTTTATCGCCTCATCATGGCTGGAAGGCGTTCCAGGATGTCAGACGGCGGTGTACAGCGTGGGAATTCATCATCCCGGCCGGGCCTACCAAGCTGGGAAGGAGTCCGGCGTTTCCATCAGGAAACCCAGCTAAGAGGAAACCAAAACCAGGATCCACCACCGTCCTGGTATCAAACTAGCTACATGCTGGCAAATCTTCCTCTGATCCACAACAGCGGTGACTGCCTGTGGTGGTGTCGACATGTGGCAGACTTTGGCCAGACTGACCTTGGGACTCCAGGGAGCCACGATGGCTAAACAAGCAAAACTCCGAAAAAATGGAAATTTTCTTGAGACCCGCACAACTAGTGAGGATGGACCATCCAAGTGTCCAACTGAGCTAAACCAGTGAGTATTACGCGTCAATGATAACCGTTCTGTAGCTACAAGTCTAGCTTTTGTTCTTCCAATACATCGGCAAATACCAAGCAAAGTTTCTGCCGTTTAATGATTTCATGCTTCATTTGTGTAAACTGCAGCGTTTTCCTTATCGAAGCCGTTTTTTCACCTCTTTCTAATTGTTCGTTCCAAGTAAAAGTCCTTGGTTCAATGTGGTCGTTATCATGGAAATCCCGCTCACCATAACTGGAATCTACAAAACATCACGCTGTTCCACTGTATGCTTTCTTTGTCAAAGTTATATTTACGTGTAAACTTTACACGTGCATTTATAAGGGACAGATAGCACACCGGCGGTGATCCCGGTCACCACTACCACCGTAATGGTTAGATCTACCTCCAGACTCACCAAGCCTCTAATACCTCCAGGGTCGAGAAACTGGTACCGGATTTGTCCGGGAAACAATCGCTCGCTGCAATCCAATTGGGAACGCTACAGTTCGACTACCTCACGACTCGTGGGGGAATCG